TTTTTCATGTGCCTTTTGGCCATTTGTATTTCTTTTTTGAGGAAGTTTCTGTTCATTTTTTCTCCACATTTTTTGATGGGGTTGGAGGTTTTTCCTTGTAAAGTTCTACCAGTGTCTTGTATATCCTGGATTTTAACCCCCAATCTGATGGATACTGGTATTTTGGTCACTGTTCCTTGTGAGGTACAGAAGCTTCTTACTTTAATGTCGTCCCATTTGTTTATGTTTGTTTCCACTTGCTTGGTCAGTGGTGTTTCATCCTTAAAGATGCTTTTAGCTTCAGTGTCATGGAGGGTTCTGTCTACATTTCCTTCCATGCACCTTATGGATTCAGGTTTGATACTGAGATTCTTAATCCATTTTGATCTGACTTTTGTGCTTGGCGTTAGACAGAGGTCTGAGTTCATTCTTTTGCATGTATCTATCCAGTTTTCCCAGCACCACTTGAAGAGGCTTTTCTTGCTCCACTTCACATTTCTTACTCCTTTATCAAAGATTAAGTGATCATATACTTGAGAATCATACACGTAATTTTTGTACCATATGCATATATTGGTTTTTGTAGTTACCTAATGAAACTATCAGTTTAATTCATCCTAAATGTTATCGTACGAAACCCTGACGAATTGGAGTCGAGCATCTTCCACCCAGATCCTCCAAATTCCAGTAGGCGGGGGTAACACCCACCACCTGGCCCCCTGGCGCCGTGTAATCCCATCAGCGGCCAAGACTCAGAGACTTTAAAATCCAGAACCCGGACGAGAACAGTGCAGTCTCTGCCCCCGCGCCTGGGTGTTCCTTCCCGGAGTCCCTTGGAGGGGAGCGGGTTGAGCTTTCCTCCCCGCCCCGGCCAGGGCTACGGCAGCCGGAGACCTCCAGGACCAGCCACCACCATGCTGAGACCACTCTCCGCACACCTGAAGGTACTGGCAGAGGGACAAAGCCACGCGGGTTCCGGGGCCGAGACCTCCAAGCCTACTCGAATTGGAGTCGAGCATCTTCCACCCAGATCCTCCAAATTCCAGTAGGCGGGGGTAACACCCACCACCTGGCCCCCTGGCGCCGTGTAATCCCATCAGCGGCCAAGACTCAGAGACTTTAAAATCCAGAACCCGGAACATCTTAACAGAACTTTTTTTTTATGACATCTTATTGTCTTATTCCTACTTTGGACAAACTTGCAGGCTATTGAATGTAGCCTGCCCACAGGGCAGAGTCTGGCAAACTCCCCGTGGCGTACCAAATATGCCAAATACCAGTAACAATGATGGGTCTCATTCTCCTAAATAGCCTTGAATATAATCTCAGGGCAAGGATGAAAGAGACGTTACTGGGGCCTGCTCGAGGCATTCGACGATGATACAACAAAATGTTATCAATTGCAGAAATAATCTAAAATCTGCAGCTCCTTCGTCTATACGCCAAAAGAATGTTATTGTATTGACATATTTTAATAAAAAAAGGGAACATAGTAGAAATGACCACATAAACACAGAAAAATTATTCAGATTTATCCAAGGATAAGTTTTTTTTAAAAAAGAAAAACCTAAAACTAAGAAAATGCAAACTTCATCTAACCATCAACTTGACCACAGATCATCCTATAAGGGTTTAGCCAAAGACTTATGCAAAGAAATCTATTCCAGAGTTGGCAGGGATTGAGAGAAAGCCAGAACCTTGTGTTCTATTGTACTGCATGTCACAATGAAGGAAATCAACTGCCTTTACATTTTTTTTTATAACTATCCTCCATGGTTAGTGTTTTATTGATAGTATATTTTATGTTGTTTACAAGCCATAACGAAAATACTTAGTTGATGCAACTTTACACTTTATTAGCAATTTAAGCTAGAGACTAACAGTTAGTGATATTCAATCATACTCATAAAAAAGCAAAGAGAAACAGCTGAGCTTTTAAAATTCATTCTAGGGATGATTGATTAATTATCAATATCTGGAACTTTGATGTTCTTATAGCAAATAAAAAACTTTTAGAAATAAAAATGAAAAATAAAAAAAATCTGTATAAAACCAGTAAAACTATGAAACACCCTTGAATAAATGCATTATAATATACAAAATAACTATAAAAATAAACTACATTTTCTAAGAATATAATTGAATAAATTGCAATTTATGCATTTATGAGAAGACATGTATATATGCACACATATATGTACACAAATTAGTAGATATGTTTTTTTTTAAGACAAAAGTTTCGTTGTTTTTTTTTGCTATATTTTTTCAGTTTTACTTTTTTTTTTTAAATTTTTTTTATTAGTGAAACACCATGAGGTACAGTTGTAGATTTACAATTTTTTGTGCTTGGGTTTGATTATACAATGATCAGATACCCATCCCTCCACCAGTGCCCATTTTCCACCACCATGGATAATATCCCCCCCACCCCCATATCCCCCCCTGCCTCTGTGGCAGGGCAATCCCCTGTGTTCTCTCTCTCCTTTTGGGTGTTGTGGTCTGCAAAAGAGGCATTGAGTGGCAAACATGTTCAGTCCATAGTCCACTTTCGACATGCATCTCCCCTCCTGGGAGGGTCCTCCAAACACCCACGCCACTGGCCGAGCAAGTGAAAACAGAGATAGATAAATGGGACTATCTTAAACTAAGAAGCTTCTGCACCTCCAAAGAAACAGTGACCAAAATACAAAGACAGTCTACAGAATGGGAAAGGATATTCGCCGAATACACATCTGACAAGGGGTTGATATCCAGGATATACAAAATACTGGTTAAACTCCACAAGAAGAAAACATCCAACCCCATCCAAAAATGGGGCAATGAAATGAACAGAAACTTTCTCAAAGAAGAAATCCGAATGGCAAAAAAGCACATGAGAAAATGCTCTACATCATTAATCATCAGGGAGATGCAGATCAAAACCACAATGAGATACCATCTCACACCTCAGAGACTGGCCCACATTCAAAAGAACAAAAGCAACCGATGCTGGCGTGGATGTGGCGAGAAAGGGACACTCCTTCACTGTTGGTGGGAATGTCCATTGGTTCAGCCCTTCTGGAAAACAGTATGGACGATTCTCAAAAAATTAGAAATTGAGCTCCCATTTGACCCAGCAATACCACTCCTGGGAATATATCCCAGAGAGGCAAAAATGTATAGTCGAAGTGACATCTGCACTTGTTTGTTCATTGCAGCACTCTTTACAATAGCCAGAAACTGGAAGAAACCTGAATGCCCAAGAACAGATGACTGGTTAAAGAAACTTTGGTACATCTACACAATGGAGTACTATGTAGCTCTTAGAAAAGATGAAGTCATGAAATTTACATACAAGTGGTACAACATGGAAAGTATCATGCTAAGCGAAATGAGTCAGAAAGAGAGGGATAGACATAGAAAGATTGCATTCATCTGGGGGATATAAAGTAACAAAATATGAGATTAATACCCAAGAATAGCTCAGATCAGCACCAGGAGGATTACTCCATAGCTTAGTGGCCAGTCGGGCATTCTAGAGGAAAGGGCAGCTCAGACAGAGAAGGGAACACCAAATAAAGGGTCTTTGGAGGCCTTTACATTTTTAAAGCAAAGCATACTCACGCTGACCACAGAGGCATTAGTTAAGTCCAAAGTTCATTTTAAATATGCTGTAGCAGAGAAGGTAAGAATAACAGCCTGGGGGCTGGAGCATTAGCACAGCCGGTAGGGCATTTGCCTTGCACGTGGCGGACCCGGGTTCGATTCCCAGCATCCCATATGGTCCCCTGAGCACCGCCAGGGGTAATTCCTGAGCGCAGTAACCCCTGTGCATCGCCGGGTGTGACCCAAAGAGCAAAAAAAAAAAAGAGCAAAAAAAAAAAAAGAGCAAAAAAAAAAAAAAAAAAAGAATAACAGCCTGTCCCAGTGCAAGGGGAACAGCTCAGCATCTCATTTGGATGTGAGCAACACCTATGACCCAGAAGCACTGACAGTTCCCTCAGCCTTAATATGAGATCCAGAAGACACTCTGCATGGCAGAAAACAAAAAGTAGTAATGAAGAATGGCTTAGTTAGTTCTTGAAGCAGCAGAAGAGACGTTTTCGTTAAATTCTAAGTAGAAGAGAATACAGATTTGTCTTAGCATTAAAAATGGGGTAGGCAACAAATAATTGGGAGCAAATGTGTGGAACTTCCAGTAGTTTGCTATAAATTCTTTTTGCTTTGTATTTTCCTCACTTAAAACAAGAAATAGTAAATAGTAAAACAATAATGTTAATAGTAAATTATGACACCTCAACAAAAATAGTTTTAAAAAAAAGATCATCTTTCCCCTAAAACATAAGTAGTTCTATAGCTACAAAGATATTTAAAAGTTTACATTTTGGGGCTGGAGCAATAGCACAGCGGGTAGGGCGTTTGCTTTTCAAGCAACTGACCCGGGTTCGATTCCCAGCATCCCACATGGTCCCCTGAGCACTGCCAGGAGTAATTCCTGAATGAAGAGCCAGGAGTAACCCCTATGCATCGCCGGGTGTGACCCAAAAAGCACACACACACAAAAAGTTTACATTTCTATTTAGACAGATGCAGCAATCACCAAGTTTGGTAACAGTGCCTGGAGCAAATCTGGATCGGTCCCTGATTTCACTAGGGGCCACCTGGGGCCTACAGGGGTCTGCAGGGCTGTGGCAGGGCTCAGAGGAGAAGGCGGGGGTGAGTCCTCTGCTGGGTCCCTCGGAAGGGTGCTGCCCCCGACTGCAGAGCCCCACGCAGCCCAGCCCGGCTGGAAAGCACAAGGCAGCCGCGACGGACTGCTGGCGAGCCTGACACTGGCCAACCCACAGAACTTGACACTCCATCGAAGGTACGGTGACCACATGAGCTTTGGGTAGTTCAGTTACAGCAACAGGAACAGCCACAAACAGTCACCTTCCCCATCCCCCTTCCAACATACACACACAGCTGGAGAAATCATGTGTGTTAACGACCACTTTAATTTTTGGTTATGGTTTTAAATTCATTTTGAGATTTCAAGTTGTACTGAAGGAGGGCACAGATTTTGGTATTTTTTCTAAGGAAGATAGAAAGATTGAGTCAGAAAAACCAAGGCATTACAATGAAGATCGGAAAAGGTAAGGTGTTACCAACAGTCAATATTTTTCTCAAAGTTCTAAAGAATAAAATCAAGGTGGAAAAGGAATGGGTTTCTATATATTAGAATGTGACCAAATCATCATACATAATGATGTTTAAAATTCTAAGAAGGAAAAAAGGAAGAGAAATATTATGTTTCCTTTAATTTAAAAAAACACATTTAGCTACTGCTAGGATATGAATATGGCTTATTACAAAAAAGAGGGATGAACCTATAAAATAGAAATATAAACTATTACTCAATCACACACATGAGCTATCTTCAAACATGCCTGTGCTTTTCAAGGCAAAGGGGCTGGGCCTTGGCGAGGGAAGATGTTCCGAGGGTTCTGCCCTGCTTCCTACGGTCCCCAGCGTGGGGGATGAGGTCACGACAGGATGTGCTCCAGAACGCCTTGTCTAATCAGCTGTTCACACTTCCACCGAGGCAAAAAGTGCTAGGATAGGTGGAGAAGAGGGAGAGGAAGAGAAAGGGTGGAAAAAATTTAAATTACACTTGTGCTATTAAAAAGCAGCAGTTGATTACATAACCAGCCCCAATAGTAAGTTGTTAAATGCTACTTTATGTTTGGGTTTTCATCACCTGAAATGGATGCCACTAAGAACTAAATTCTGATTTCTATAAACAAATTCACAATTTTCTTAAGCTAAATTTAAAGTCAAGAGGGCACTTATCTTCAGCACTGCACAGGCCCCCTCAACATCTCCAAGAGCTACCCCTGAGCACTGAGCCAGGAGCAGTCCCTGAGCACTGCTAGTCTGGGCCTCTACCCCCAAAAAATATAAATGAAAACTTCTGTTTTTGAATTTGGGCCATATCTGGCCATACCTCCTGAGTGAAGATGCTCAGGAGTTACTCCTGGCTCTGCACTCGGGAATTATTCCTGGTGGTGCTCAGGAACCTTATGAGATGCCAGAGATTGAACCCAGGTTGACTGCATACAAGGCAAACTCCCTAACACTGTACTTTTGCTCCACCCCTAAGTGAAAATTTCATAATTCTGGTAGTTCTTTCCTTCACGCTTGCATTTTTAGTTTGCTTATTTTTGTTTTTTTTGGGTCACACCCTACAGTACTTGAGTTCCTCCTGACTCTGCACTCAGGAATTATTCCTGGAGACTGTATGGGATGCCATGGATTGAACTCGGGTCAGCTGTGTGCAAGGCAAATGCCTTTCCTGCTGTGCTATCGCTCTGGCCCCATCATTTTTTAAAATTTATATCCCGAAATCCCAGGTAAACCGTTTTGGGAGTACCAGATTCTAGTACAAGAATGGCCAGGGTTGGACTTGAGGAAGAGTCCTCGTTGTGCGAGCCCTGTGCAACTAAAGGTGCACAGACGGAAGGACCTGATGCAACCCAGGACCAAATAAACCCGCCAAAGCAGTCCTGGAAGCACAGGCTGCTGTCTGACATGGTAAGTGGATTTTTAAAGAAACACTGAAAATAAAAAATTCAAATCAAAACAGTCTGAGTGAGTCACGTAATGGCTATTTCAAAGGCTACAAGGAAGAGGGGGGCTCTGACTTCTGGGTAAACAGGAGTCTGCTCGACAGACAAGCATGGACATACAAGTATGGCAGGAAAACGCTTCCCTGTGCTCTAGATGACGTGGATGGTCTAACCACCCCGTGGGTCTATCCAACTGTGGTCAGGTACTCTCTTTACCCAAAGCCTGTAGGACACCTGGAAAACCTGGCATTAAAGCACTTAGCCCCTGGGCTGAGAGCTGGGAGGCCTGAGCATGCTTTGCAAGGAGGAGGCCTGGGCTGGATCTCCGGCAGTGCACGGTGCTGAGATCTGCCACGAACGACTCCCGGGCACAGAGCTGGGAGCAGCTCCAGCACCAGCGGATATGACCCCAACACATACAAAGTAAAAGGAAGAAAATTCAAGCTGAGGGCAGGGATGTGTCTACAATGGTGGAGCACAGTCCTCTCTGGGGTCTGGCCCCTGCACCACCAGGAGGGATTCCAGCAGCCCCCAATGCACTTGGGGGCCAAAGCATTACCATGTGTGGTCCCTTGACAGAAGAAAATAAAATATTCAACCTTCGTTTTGGGAAACCTATTTTAAATTCCAAGGGTACAAGAGACCAATTCTCCCTCACCTAGAGAAATAAGCCCAAGAGCTAAACCAACTGAATTCTTCCTCTGCTCCAGACAACCAACACAATGACTTATAGTCCTCAGAACTGGTAGGAGCAGAAACAAAACAGTGGATTGTTTCTTGGGGGGGGGGGGGTTAGATTTTTAGATACCCTGACACGTGTGACTCCCCAAAAACAAAAAATAATGAAGTTTTAAAAAATGCAAGCATGAAGGAAAGAACTACTAGAATTAAGAAGTTTTCACTTAGGGGCAGAGCAATAGTATAGCAGGTAGGGAGTTTGCCTTGCATGCGGCCAACTCTGGCATCCCATAAGGTCCCCGAGCACTACTAGGAATAATCTGATAATGAAAAACTGAGATATGATGAAAATTCATTTGGCTAAGGTGAAGTCTTCGACTGACCTGAGTGTGATCCCCGGCACCCCAAATGGTCCTGAGCACCCAGGAGTAACTCCTGAGTATCAGCAGGTGTGCCCACCCTCCACCCCCTGCAAAAAAGGGCAAGAAATACGCAATAAGCAATGGTCCATGATAACAGACCTTGAGAGTCTCCCTATAGTTCTGAGTCTGCTGAGTGGGGGTATCTAAGGTGGCCAGGAGGGGACCCAGAGACAGTGGTGGAGGAACTGATGCCCTCTGGTTCTGGGCGTGGAGAAGCACCCCTGAACAGTAGTAACAGCACTGAGAAGCATGATACCTAAACCGTAATTTTAAAAAAGGTCCTTTTCTAAGTCTTATCATTTACATAAATATGAAAAAGGGCATATTATAATCAAAGATATGGTCATCGCAAGGTGTTACTTATTTTGCTGATTATTTCAATATTTCTATCATTCAATACTTCTTACATTTAAAACATGTAAGGAGCCAGAGAGATAAGCACATAAGGAACTTGCTCTGCATGCAACTGGCCCAGATCTGATCCTTGGCACCAAATATGGTTCCCTGAGCCCGAGTGGCAGGAGCAGACCTGAGCACAGCCAGGTGTGGTCCAAAAACTGGTCAAATAAAGGCATAAAATACATGTTAAGAAATACCTGGCTATTTTTTTTCAGTAAGACTGAAGTACCATCATCAATTTCAAATTCTCCGTAGTCTTTCAGACATCGCACCTGGGAGAAAAATGGAATTTTTTTTCTTAGCATGCAGTCACCACAAAGTAAACGGGATCACACAAATACCACACAGTAAGAATCTGAGTCTGAGGGCTGAAGTGATAGCACAGTGGGTAGGGCGTTTGCCTTGCACGTAGCCAACATGACCGACACAGGTTCGATTCCCAGCACCCCATATGGTCCCCTGAGCACCGCCAGGAGCAATTCCTGAGTGCATGAGCCAGGAGTAACCCCTGAGCATCGCTGGGTGTGACCCAAAAAGAAAAAAAAAAGAAGAATCTGAGTCTGTCCATCCGTCTGTGTGCGGCCAGAAGCCCCGTGTGCTGTCTCTTGCCCAGGCTGGGTGGCATATCCCCACATCTGTCTGTCCATGCCGGCACGGGTGGCAGGAAGCCCAGAGGCTGCGGGGGAGACAGGGCCACTGGGCTCCCCTACAATCCCAAGAAATTAGCGGAAAAGAAAAGAGAGTTTTTACATCTATTTTGACCTGCCTCTAGAGATTCTTCCCATAAGATATCATTATTGGGGAGACTAAAAAACTTTTATCTTAGAGTTTTCCAATTCCCTTTAATATTCAACCTTTTAAGGGTACTGAGAATAGACCACAAGAGTGGACTCACGTCACAGGCGTTAGGGGTTCTGAGCAGCTGCCAATTGGCTGTGCCCAGCAGCCCTAGAGAGTCACAGACCCAGTCAGTGCTCCTCAGACAAGCAGAGAGGCCAGAGCCCCGAGGCCCTGCCATGCAGCGCCTCCCCGGGGTGGCGCTGATTCCTGCCTGTGGGTCACTCATTGACTGATCTGCCAAGATAACCTCATGTTGGAATCGTATGTGACTTCCAAAGGTATTTTAATTTGGTTTGACAAATACCATGTTAGAAAAATCCCTACCACCAATACCACTTTCTCCTGCAACAACCTTTTATTATGGAAAATCTCAAATATATTCAGAAACAAAGCTGGGGATGTGGCTTAAATCCTGAGCAATCTTTTTGAGAATTTTAGGAAATATGCCTCAAATCCTGAGCACCACAAATAAAATGAACTAAAAAGGCAAATATGCTTAAACTCCACATCCTGTCAATTCCTCAACAGTTCACACGTGTCCAATCATATATCCTTACCCACTCCTGATATTCTGAAGACTTTTTTTAAAAATTTTTATTAGTGAAACACCATGGGGTACAGTTGTAGACTTAAAATTTTCGTGCTTGGGTTTCAGTTATACAATGATTGAATACCCATCCCTCCACCAGTGCCCATACTCCACCACCACTGATCCCACTGAAGAAATTCTTAGACATCATTTCATCTATCAATACTAGAGTATTCTTCCTACAAAATAATGTTTTTTTTTTTAATTAAAAAATAATGTTCAGGGGGCCCAGGACCAACCCCATAGAGGGATATCGGACATCTGAGCCAGTCAGCCCAGTGCATAGGCTTGACTGGGGACCAAACATGGGGCATTGGGCATGGAGGCAAGAGCGACAGACCTGAGCTAGCTGCCCAGCGCACCGGGTCATACAGAAACATAGTCGCAAGACTAATATGTTATTGGTTTTGTTGGTTTTGTTTTGGGACTCACCATCTGTGCTCAGCGATCACTCCCGGCAGTGCTGGGGGGAAGGGGGGACCATATCGGGTATCAGGGATCAAACCAGGGCTGGCCACGTACTCCAGTTTATCATTTCATTCATTTTTGTTGCTGCTATTTGCTTGCTTGTTTGGGGCCATCCCTGGAGGTGCTCAGGGCTTACTCCTAGTTCTGGCGGTGCTTAAGGAACCACATGGGAACCAGAGTCGACTGATCACAAGACAAATGCCCTGCCCGTTATACTATCATTCTGCCCCTTCTTTAATTTTTAATATCATGAAATACCCAGTTAGTATCTAAATTTCATTTGTCTGAAATTATTCTTTAATTTTTTCAAATAAAAATGGTGCCCGAGATGGAGCCCACACATGATGAACCTTCACACATGAGGTTTTCATACTTAGTGAAATCAGAATCAAACATGAGCTACAAAATACTTATTTCCTATGTCTCTCTCTTTTTTTGACCTTTTGACTTTGGAGACACACCTGGCAGTGTTTGAGACTTACACCTGGGCGTGGGCTCAGCGATGGGAGCCAGGCGGCTGCCCACCAGGCAAGCACAGTGTGAGCAGTTCCCTGCCTTCCGTTTCTCTTTCATAACTTATTTGTTCAAGAAACCAAACAGACGGCAGTGTTCCACAGATTTGGTAGTGGATTCTTCTGGGTCATTCAACATGTTCCTCTTTCCCTAAATTTCCTATAAATTAGTCTGAGGTTTCATAAGACTACAAGTGATTTCTCCGGCAAAAGACAGTATGTGCATCCTGTGACAATGGATCCCAAAACACAAAGTGTCTGGCTGTCGCTGCCTGGATATTATGACTGATCAGTGGAAGGAGATGCTGTCTTTACCAATCCATATTCATATCCATACTAAGTTTCTATTAAATTTTCACGTGATGCTTTTAGTAGCTATTTTTCCGCTATGAATTAAGGTTAAAAAAACAGCTCTAACCTAGTTCCTGCTGCACTTATTTGCTCAAATTCTCCTACTAAAAGAAGCCAGAATGAGGGTGCTGTGGGTAGGCTGACCAGAGTCTGGCCCTGGGCATGCCTGGACCCCCAAGCCTGCCAGGAGTGATCTCTGAGCACAGAGCCAAGAGGACACCTTGAGCATGGCTGGAATGCCTCCCCACCCCCACAATAAAAAGGAACTTCCCCGAGAGACAGATGTGGATGAAGGTGTTTGCCTGACATCTGGATAAGGATACTTCATGGTCCTTGGCACTGCAGATGGTCCACTGAGCACAGAGCCAGGTATGCCCCCCAATTCCAGCCCCCCAAGGAAGAGAATTTTCCAGGGCTGAAGGAAGAGTTCAATGGGATGAACACACGGCTTGCATGGAGGAGGCCTGGATTTGATCCCGAGCATGACATGGAAACACTTGGAAGAGCAACCCCTGAGCACAAAGTACAAGTAAACCCTGGTGGGGAAGGGAGGGAAGGGAACTTCCCCTGGAAACAACCTGGCACTGGAAAAAAGGTAGTGGCATTTCTGACAGATATCCTTTGATCTCCCACCTAGTGTTTTAGTAGTACCACGGCTCAACTCAGAACACAGACACATCACTGAGCCTCATGCCTGATTTACCACTTTTCGGAATAAGCTACATCCCTCCTATTTCCATGGGCTGCATTTTTTTTGCAATTATTGTTGCTTGGTTTCACTATGTGTTCACGCATCTAATGTAATTGCTGAAATTCAGTCTGTTACCTTTATTCATCTTGATATCTTGATACTCAAGTTCCTTTTGCAGCCAGTATGGTTCTCAATAAACAACAACAATAGCATTTTGCTTTTGCAAAAAGATGGTATTTCAAACTCAAGTTCAGAGAAAGGGTCCTCACTTAACTTTCTCTGCTTTAGGAGCAACCCCAGCTGTGTTCAGGGGGTGGGGGACCTTTGCCAGGTGAGGGAATGAATCCGGAACTCTATGCAGAAAGCACGTGTTCTGACTCTTTGAATTATCTCCCAATCTCTTCACCGAGCTTTTTTAATTTTAATATTTAAATCTTTTCTTTTTAAAGAAAATCTGCTCCTATTACCATTATTTTCTGTCCTATTCTTCAATACATAAACAGTTTTAAGCAAAAGGAAAACTATTACTAAGGTGATTACCAGAAACAGACTAATCTACCTTTATGATTCTTCTCAATCCTTAGAACATACCCAAGAGCGATACACAATCTATGTGCCTTAAAGTAATTTAAAAGAGAAACTGAGAACTGGTCTTCAGTGGGTTGCAGACCACAGGAGAGGGTGACAAGACAGGGAAGGTGGTCACTCTATAGGAGGGTGTGCAGCTAGAACGAGTCATGCACTGTTATTATTACCAGGAACAGTTTCGTAAATCACAGTGCCTAAAAACAAGTATAAGAAACAGTGCCTGATGTATCTGTTTTGTTTTGGTTTGGTGTTCAGACTTACTCCTGGCTCTATGCTCAGGAATCACCCCTGGTGGGGTTTGGGGAAGCATACGGGGTGCTGGGATGAAACCCGAGTTAGCCTTGAACCCTACCCACTATATATCATTCCAGAACCCAAGGGGAAGTATTTGGGGGAGAAACTGGGGAATTTGGTGGAAGGAAGTTGACAACAGTCAAGGATTGGTGTTGGAACATTGTATGAAACTCAATCCTGAATAACTTTGTAAATCACGGTAACTTAATAAAAATAAAATTTTAAAAAACAATAATTTGAAAAAGATTCATTTGTTTTATTTTGCTTTCAGAATCAGTTGGTTTGTGTTTTTGCTGTAATTTAATTTAGGTTTACTAACATGCTTATATAATTTACTTATATTATAATTTATATGCCTATATAATGTTATATAACATATAACTTATATAATAAAAGGCCCTCCCGTTGATCATCGATTTGCTCGAGCGGGCCCAGTAACGTCTCCATTGGAGACTTTGTTGTTACTGTGTCTGGCATATCGAATACTCTCGGTAGCTTGCCGGGCTCTCCGAGAGGGGCGGAGGAATCGAACTCGGGTCGGCCATGTTGGCTGCGTGCAAGGCAGACGCCCTACTCGCTGTGCTATCAGCAGCACATATACTAAAATTGGAACTTATATAATATGCTTATATAATTTTAAGCCAAAACTATTCAATCAGGTCCTTTAAGAACATTTCAGCTACTTTATATGGTTCACACCACGCCCTGAAATGTGACAGGTTCAGGGGCTGGAGTGATAGCACAGTGGACAGGGCGTTTGCCTTGCATGTGGCCAATCGGGTTCGATTCAAAGAATCCCATATGGTCCCCCGAGCACTGCCAGGAGTCATTCCTGAATGCAGAGCCAGGACTAACCCCTGTGCATTGCCGGGTGTGACCCCCCCAAAAAATGTGACTTGTTCAGATTGTATATATTTTCTTCCTTGTTTTTACTTATTTATTTACTTATCTATTAGGTTTGGGGGCCACTGGTGGTGCTCAGGGCTTACTCCTGGCTCTGTGCTCAGGGATCACTCTTGGAAGGGCATGGGGGGCACTGGACAGGGTGCTGACTTGGCTATGGCAAGGTAGTGCCCTACCCCCTGTACTCACTCCAGCCCCTTTCTTTTTAAATACAAACTAATAATATTCATATAAGCTCCCCATGGCATATTCAATATGCCAAAAACAGTAACAACACATCTCACAATGGAGACGTTACTGGTGCCTGCTCGAGCAAATCAATGAACAACGGGAGGACAATGCCACAGTGCTACCTAATATACTTTAATATAAACCTAGTATACTAACAGACCTAATATAACAGATACCTATGTAAGTTAATACAAATTAATATATGCTCACATACCTGCCACTCTTGTTAGATAAAAGGTACCTACACATTAAAAGAGTCTATTTTAAAAAGGTTTACTTGACACTGGTACAGGTACACTGGTGGAAGTATGGATGTCGGAATATTGTATGACCGAAATCCAATCATGACAGCTTTACAAGAGTCTATACCACAGGGATTCAATAAAAAAGTTAAAAAAATAAAAAGGTTTACTTACTTCAATATATAAGCTTTTTGGAGGTTTCATATCCTGTGTAATGTCCAAACCTTCATCTCCTCCCAATGACCGCATATAAGTAGCAAGGGACTTCTTATAACGATTGAACCACTCCATCTACAAACATAAAACACGTGCAAAAACTGCTTACTCATCCTCTTAACTATAGAACACATCCTGACACAGATTACTATGATCATTCACTCATTTAAAGTACAAAATCACTGACAACTATTATGAACTAAAGCATGTTCTGGGCCCCCTGAGGATCATCTGCAAAGCATGCAGGGATTTTCGTTCTCGAGGCTGTGGAAACTGTAAGAGGCAGAGCACATGGCAAGTCCATGTAAGACTCTAACACTGCAGCAAGTGACCCAAAAATCACCAGGAGTGGCCCTACCCACCCCCATTTCCACAGGGCGTGGCCTCTATTGAAAATAGAGCTCTTGCATAAAGCCAACCTGGGTTTGGCCCTCAGCCCCAGCACTGCCAGGAGTGATCCCTGAGCAGAGCCAGGAGTAAGCCTGAGCATGAATAGGTATGGCTCCCAAACCAAACCAAAAAAAAAAAAAAAAGGTCCTGTTGTCATTGAACTTGCATACCAGCAGAATCACGAACCTTAAGGAACTTTCTGCCATAAACAAACACTAAAAAATACATGCAAGTTTTGTCAAAATGCATTTACTGTTTCTCTGGAATACTATACAACATTGTTCAGAAAAACACAGAGAGCAATAATACAGCGGGTAGGGTGCTTACCCCGACACCCCATACGGTCCCATGAGCATTGCCAGGAACGATTCCTGAGTACAGAGCCAGGAGTAAGCTCTGAATATGTCGGGTGATGCCCCAAACCCAAAACCAGAGAAACACCCATATGTAAAACAATTAATGAATGGCTAAGGTATGCATACTCCTATAATGTAATGTGATTCACTCACATAAAAGAGAAAAATGTTCTGATACATGTTACATATGGATGAATCCTGAACACATGAGAAGTGAAGGACATATAAGATTGGATATGACATAAATCTACACATATGAAAAATTTATAATAGGTCAACTAGAGAGATAGACATAGGTTTGTAATTTCCAGGAACTCGGAAGACACATTGGGGGGAAGGCAACTGATCCCATGGTCTGGCTGAAGGTTTCCACAGGGCGTGGTGGGGAGGGCCATGAACATTCTCTGGAATAACGTGGTAGCTACACAACGCTACAGATAAGTTATTTAGATTAAGAATATAAAGTATTTTTTCTTTACTCTTTTTTCACACACACCTGTGTGTTCTTAGGGGACACTCCTGGTGGGGCTTCAGGGGACCACATGGGACGCCAGGATTGAACTCAGGTCGACTATGTGCAAGGAAAGCTCCCTACCTGCTGAACTACTGCTCCAGCCCCTCCAAAGTGTATATTTTATTTATTTTGTTTTTGAGGCCACAATGGTGATTCTCAGGGGTTATTCCTGGCTCTGCACTCAGGATTTACTCCTGATGGTGTTCCAGGGACCATATGGGACTGCAGGGATCGAACCTGGGTTGGCTCATGCAAGGCAAGTACCTTACTAATCTCTCTGTCCCCTAAAATGTATATTTTTAAAGAATAAGCATGTTATTACAGTATATGAATTATATCTCAAGAAAAGTTAATTTTTAAAAATTATTGTAATGATGTCAGCCTGATTTACAAATTCAATTTAATCTCAATCAAAATATTTAAAAAGAGAATTTGATAAATGGAGAATAAAATTAACAGGGAAATGCAAAAGGACAAAATAGTTGACACACAGCACAGCGGGTAGGGCATTCGCCTTACAAGCGGCCAACATGGCCGACCCAAGTTCGATTCCTCTGCCCCTCTCGGAGAGCCCGGCAAGCTACCGAGAGTATTTGATATGCCAGACACAGTAACAACAAAGTCTCCAATGGAGACGTTACTGGGCCCGCTGGAGCAAAAAAGAACAAGATGGGAATATTTGCTCAAAATTTATTACATAGTTATAATAACTAAAACAATATGGAAGAAAATGCAAGAACAGACATAGATAAAAGGAGAATGGCCAGCTTCCAAGATCCACCGATGTACTAATATGTGACCAAAGATGTACTAATTTGTAGGATAACATTGGTTTGTCATTTCTTTCTGGCCACAGGGAGCTTAGGTTTATTGGGTAATACCCATCATAACACCCATCATAAAACATTCCTGTGTTTATTTGTAAGCTCTCTGTGCTCTTCTTCCCCAACCGGTCAATCATCTTTATCCCCCAAATCAGACTGTTGACTTGTAAGGTCAGATCCTTCTAGGACACTGGATTTGTATTTGTAAGTGAAATATTGCTTTTCTCTTCTTATGTCCTTTGCATAGTTACTTCAGAGCAATGTCCTTTTTGTATAGACACAGGAAGACAGTTAATGCTACGTTTTTGTAACTTGGGAGTTAATTGACTCCAAATAATATTCACTCCTGGGCATCTGTTTTCTTGACTTAAGCCTCAGTTGCCCTTAGTTTCTAGCACCCCAAAAGCAGGGTCCGGACGAGGAACTGGATGGACCCAGGGCAAGCTATGTATGAGCTAGCCTGGCATCGAAATGGGCAAGGCCAAGTGCCATAATACTTGACTACAAGTTAAGAGCACAGTCATGAACAAATTCTGTCACGATCCAAAGAGTAACAACGGGATCAGAACACTGCGAGGGTTAGGAAAAACTATCTGGCACAAGCACTGGTAGTCTGGGATTTATAGCGAGATGACCCCCAGGAGAGCCATCCTATAAGCTTAATGTATCTCTTACTGTATACATACAAAATGACTAATATTATTAAGACGTAGAATTTAAGATGAATGTTTAAATGGTTGTTGGACTAAGGAAAGGAGAAACACACCCCTAGGTGGTATTTCGCCCTTAGCCGGGCCTTCTTGCTGGATGAAAATTTGTCCTAGAAGAAGCTTCTCCTGGGGGAAGGACTTTACCTCTGTTGACTGTATGACCACACCTACGTGTAACTGCTACCCCAAACCCTCGTGATTTGGGATATAACTAAAGCTGTGAGAGTGGGCAGGGGGGAGTCAGGGAGGATCAGGAAGAGGAGAATGGAGGATCAGGGAGGATCAGGGAGAATCAGAGGAGAATGGAGACAGGACTGGAATAAATGGCAACTGACACTAACCAGCCTGGCCCTCGTGTCCTCCTTCGTCCGCCCATGGCATCAGCCATCCCCAGTGGGGGAAGCGGCCTGAGACCACCAAACGCAGGCGGCAAGAGAGCACCACGACTTCATATTTATTCTTTGAATACACACCGATTCAACATGTGGTCCACACAGAGCATCGGGGGAAGGAGGGTTTTGTCAACCCAGTGTGGCCAGCATCCGTATTCATAGCAGATGTCCTGGTACTGTGGCAGCACTCACCTTGCATGGCTGAGACTCTGAGTTCCCTCCCTCTCTCTGCATGCAACATAACTCCTACATTATACATATAATTCATCCCAGCGCGATAGATTTCTTTTTGAAAACTGGAACAATGTATTTCCAAAAAGACTACACATGCACATAACTACACACACAGACCCTTTGATGTGATAAATCCCCAGAGTGACTCACAAAACTAAGGAAAGTTATGCTTACAGTGGTAATTTCACTATATACCAAAGGGAAACAAACAAGAACCAGACAAAGAATGAGACATATAGGGCGAGGTCTGGGAGGGTCCCGAGCATGAAGCTTCTGGTAACTTCTCCCACTAAAAGGAGGACAATCACCTTCCTAATAGTTGGTTGTGTAATAATACAGAGAACATGTCCAATTAGGGATGCTCACAAAGGCTTTTAACAGGGGTTCATTACATTCTACAAGCAGGCCAGGACACTGGGCTCACTCTAGCTCTCCAAGCCCAAAGCCTGAAGGATGGTGGGAAACCTCAAACCTGCAGCAAGACGGTCCGAGGAGAGACTGAGCTTGAGATGGTGTTTGAGTCAGGGCCATGGGACACTGTGACATCTGCTCGAACTCTGGAAAGCATCAGGACTCCTGCTCTCCTGAGTGGGCCAGCACTCCTTGCCTCATTCTGTGAGCAGAGCTGAGATGCAGAGGCCACCCAAGGCTGCAGGCACAGACAAGGTGGTCTGCTTGGTTCGATCCTGGGTCCCTAAATACTGATCTGGCTCTGTGGCTCAGGAATGGGACAAATTAATTATTCCAATACAGATATCAATACTATTTAGAATACTGAAAAGGTGCATTTAATGGAAATCATGCCATTTTTTTCATTAATACCAATGAACAACTAGTATATAACATAGTGTGCATCCTTGTTTTGTTAAGTTTTCCATAGGGCATTTAGAATGAGGTCTACCTTTTTTTACCATAGTACATAGTACACAGCTAGAAAACAGGCGTCAAAAATAGAGAAATACCAGCGAATACTATTATGAAAAAGCACTAGAATCTCAGTTTGATCCATAATCATGAACTGCAAACACAGCATTTACTTACTTCATCAGAAGACATGTGAAATCGCAATGCACTTGGCAAGACACTGCCGTATTCCCACCTAAGAGCTCTAATACGGAGCAATCGGTCATACCTGGGAAATTAAACAGGTATCAGATGGCATAATAAAATAACTATCAAAAGTCGCCATACTCAGAAGACTCAGGACTCATAAGAACCCAAACACTTCACTGAGGCAGAAACCAAAACCGCTTCCTTTTTTTTTTATTTTTGGCTTTTTGGGTGACACCCAGTGTTGCACAGGGGTCACTCCTGGCTCATACACTCAGGAATTACTCCTGGCGGCGCTCTGGAGACCATATGGGATGCTGGAAACCAAACCTGGGTAAGCTGCGTGCAAGGCAAATGCCCTACCTGCTGTGCTATCACTCCAGTCCCCAAAACCCACTTTCAAATCTGTACGAAAGCATCTTCAGAACAGGCGAGAAACATGGACCTAGACTAGATAGATGTCATGAAGACAGTTTTCCTTGTCCAGTTGTAAGAATGTACAGTCAGCGGTCAGAGTAATAGCATGGTGGGTAGGGTGCTTGCGCTGCACGCACTGACCCGGGTTCAGTCCCAAGTCCCCAATGGGCCCCTGAGTCCCAGCAGGAGTGAACCATCCCTGAGCACAGAGCAAGGAGAAAGTCCAGAGTACTGCTGGGTGTCACACCCACCCCTGCCCTCTGCCCCCACCAAGAAAAAAAAAGAAAAAAAATGCACAGCCAGAGCTGAAGAGATAGTAGGTGTTTGCCCTGCACGCCGATGCCCCTGATTCAATGCCTAGCACATATGGCTCCCAGTTCCTGCCAGGAGTGATCCCTGAGTACCGCTGGGTGTGGGCCCCAAGCAAAAACAGAACAAAGAAAAGATTTACAATGGCCTCATCACAGAAGTCCAAACGGCACTCCTCAGAGACACACTGAAGTATCCAGTGATAAATGCCATAGTCCACTATGTTGTAGCACAAAAAGAAAGGAGGGGGGAACAGAGGGAGGGAGGGAGGGAGATGAAAAAATATGGGAAAGCCTAAAAATGTGAAACTACTATATCTCATTCTAGGAGTTACCCACCTTCCAGTTTAGAGGATGTAATTTCTCTTCCTTTTTTTTTTTTGGTTTTGGGCCTCACCCACTGATGTTCAGGAGTTACTCCTGGCTCTACATTAGAATTACACCTAGTGGTGCTTGGGGACAATATGGGATGCCAGAGATCCAAGCTGGGAAGGCCATGTGCAAGGCAAGCACCCAACCTGCTGTACTATCACTCCAGCCCCAACACTTCCCTATTTTTGTGGGAAAAGGAAGAGAAATTTCCTAAATAAAACCATTTAAAAAAAAAAGATGAAAATATTAGCTTTGTGAATATTGTAACTTTTCCTAATAAAGTTTTAAAATGAAGGATGGTAAGAATTCATTTAGGTGTTTCAAAGGTGAGAAACAAACCTGAGCATTCCTGTTATCCATCTGAAATGTCCACAGGGCCTCATACCAAAGACCTTCCTTGCCGCCCTGAAGACGGCTCAGAGGTCTGGCTACAGTCACACGCTGAGAGCCCCGACCCCATCCCTGTGCCCACCCCACACTGCAGGTCCTCCAGGCAGGACCTCGAGTGGGGCCAGAACCAACCAAGCAGCCAACCCCAAACCCAGGAATCTCACAAGTATGCTACAGTGCAGCGTCGGTTTCTTAACAACGAATGGTGTCGAAATTTGATGGTTGGTATCAGATCACTTCGTGCACCTGATTTTGCTTCATTCCTATTAAGAACATTTAGAAGGGAAAAATCAACTATGTATACTTAGTACAAGGAAATGTTTAAAGCAACTGGCAATATCTTGTTTTTATCCATGTATGACTAGCAATTAGCCCAAGCAAACAGTATTGACCCCATCAGAACTTGAGTATGCTGAGCATTAAGAAAGTCAAGAGTTAGCCCAAGATCATACTATTCGAATTTCCTTTAACTGTAAGGTACTTTGAGGTATTTTTTAAATTTTTTTTTCCAGCAAAGCAAGTTATTTTACTGAATAAAATTTTTGCTTAGAAAGACATGAGGGGAGGGACTGGAGCGATAGCACAGTGGGTAGGGCGTTTGCCTTGCACATGGACTACCCGGGTTCGATTCCCAGCATCCCATATGGTTCCCTGAGCACTGCCAGGAGTGACTCCTGAGTGCAGAGCCAGGAGTGACCCCTGTGCATTGCCGAGTGACCCAAAAAGAAAAAGAAAAAAAAAAGACATGAGGGGAGAGGAAGGGGGAAGTCCATGTTCAAGAGAGAACAGGGTGCTCTAAAGTGGAAAAAAGCAAAGAGGCAGAGAGACGAGAGGCATGTTCCATGTTCCAGGGAAAATAGGCACAAAAAGAGCAAGCCCTCGTACTTGTTTTTTTATTTCTCTGTTTATTCTGCAGTGCCGTGGACTGGACCCAGGGCTCGCATGTGCAAGTAAAGTGTTTTAACGCTGAGCAGCATCCCCATCCTCCACTTCACAGTTTTGTACACTGATTCATCTATATAATTCTAAACATTGTGTTTCTTCACCTTCGGGAGTTCCTTTTTCATGCTAATATAAGAACATATCACAGGAACCTATGAAATTTGTCTTACAGTTCAAAATCCCCGTTGTGCTAGCTAACCATCCTCAGCTACAGATATCCTGTAAGTGTCCCCGCACCTACCAGGCTAGAGTCTCCCATAGTCCTCATTTTCCCCAAGCCCTGCTCCAGCCATCAGGAACCACTGCTGCCCCTCCCAAGCTGACAGCCTCCATCCCTCTAGCACATCCACCAACAGAGAAAAGCCAGAGAAGCAATCTAATACCCTTGGTTATGGTTTTTATTTGTTTGTATCATGGCTCATCTAGATCTACCCATCTCTTTTCAGTAATACCACTTAGGTAACAAATATTTAGAGAGCAGCCATTGTGTGCCAAGCACTATATGAACCTCCATGCACTGGAAAAGCCCTGCTAGTCTTGTGTCCCTGGTCAGTATGACACTCCTGCAGGTGTTAAACAGTTCAAAACCGTTAATTATATCAGGTATAATCTAGCAAACAAAAATTACATCTAAAATCAGATTCTCTATTACAATATTACATTTCTTAAACAGTTCTAACATGTAAATCTTATTTTACACTTACACATCAGACTGGTTTTGTTCATATAGAGCTTTCATCTCCTCCAAAACTTGCCTGAGTCCATCCTCCTAGAATATACGATATTGACACACACTTATTAATTTTTATACAAAATCTGTGGCAAAAGTCTCTCTAAAATATGTCTGACTTACATATCTTACCAAGAAGTAATAGTTGGGGTTGAAGCGATAGCACGGCGGGTAGGGTGTCTGCCTTGCACGCGGCCGACCTGGGTTCGATCCCTGGTATCCCATATGGTCCCCCAGCACTGCCAGGAGTAATTCCTGAGTGCAGAGCCAGAAGGTAACCCTTGTACATTGCTGCGTGTGACACCCCCCCCACCAAAAAAAGAATAATACTTCCATACCTACTAGGATAGCTAGAATAAAAAATGTTGGAGAGGATGGGGAAAAACTGAAATTCTCATTCATCGCAGGAAGGAATGCAGAATGATAAGCCCAGTAAAAAACAAGTCTGATAGTTCCTTGAAAAGTTAACCATCAAATTAACATGTGCAGTGGGGGGTGGGCGGGCTACTCCCACGCCTGATCAGGGAGTATCCCCAGAGACTCAGCCAACAGGCCTAATGGTTCAATAGTTGGTCTGAGAGTCTGGTGCTGTTCAGATCTTCCCCTGTGGGGGACCCCCAGAGTCAACCCAGGGGCCACCAGAGCTATAACCAGCTATGCTGGGGTGATTCCAGGTCTACACTCAGTGGTGTTGGGGTCCCCTATGGTGGCAGGGATCCAACTGGGGCTTCTCCTGTGCTTACTCCCTGTATTACCTCCCTGGCCCCCCCAATTACCATATTATCCAACAATTTTACTCCTAAATATCACTGTATCACTGTCATCCCATTGTTCAAGTTACCCAAGCGGGTGCCAGTAACGTCTCCATTCATTCCAGCCCTGAGATTTTAGCAGTCTCTCCTTACTCGTCTTTCCCAACGCTGCAGTACCGGAGGCTCTTTCAGGGGAATGAGACCCGTTTTTTTTTTTTTTTACTGTTTTTGGCATATTGAATATGCCACGGGAAGCTCGCCAGGCTCTGCCGTCGACCCCTAAGTATACCCAAAAGTAATGAAAATCAATATCCAGAGTGGGTAGAGCCCAGATGGCAGGGAAGGGAGCAATCTGAAAGCTCTTCTGGGCACCGACAAAAGACAGTGCAACTTACACAGATATCAAATGCCTATTTGTGCCTGGGGCCTGCCGTGGAAGGGACAAGGAGCAGCTGTGACCAGAACTAGGGATGGAGCATTCTGGCAGGAAATGTAATCAACTCTGGGTGGCCCCACAGGCAGAAACTGCTGCAAAATCACAAGCAGTGAAAGCACATCCTGGAGGAAGGGGAACTCAAGAGCAGCCTGGGGGCTGAGTGGACCTCAAAGGTGTGGGAACAGACTTCAGGTGCAAGCCTCCACGATAGGTGGAATCACACAGTGCCCTCAAGTTTCCCAAATGTCCAGTGTTTATCATGTACACTGAACTGTGAAAGCAAAGTGCTTAGAACTGGACGCTTGAGTTAAGTGAAGGCCAGCCAGGCTACAATTCCTGAAGAAGGCCTACCCACCCAGGCCCATAGTGGAGCAGACACTTGAACTGGAAAGTAAGTGACCGAGAACTGGAAGTTTGGGTCAGGCCTGTCTGCTCTGCTGACCGGCTGGCTGGAGCCAACGTTCTCGAGTGAGTCCATCATATCCCAGGCCACAAGCAGCAGATACCAGTTCCTGTGCCAGCACTTGGCAAAGTCAAGCTCACACAGTCCCACCCAGCCTGGCCTGGCGGTGCAAGCAGGCCAGGCCTTATGAAGCATTTTTAGCCAGCAGGGGTCACACCCAGAGGCCAAGTGCTGGCACAGGAATGCCAGGTGCCCGAGACTTCAGTTGTCCACGCAGTTGTCCTGCCCACACACAGAACATGCAGAGCAGGCAGGGCTGCCAACAGAGCCCACGACGGCCGCGGCCTTCCCGAGATGAGAGATCAGGCACCACAGGGCACTTGGGATCTAATATCTGGTTTTTCAACATCCACATGACCACAGTTCCAGGCCACTCCCAGGTTAGCAAGACATCAGAAAATCAAGTACCTAGGAATCAGCTTAACTAAGGAAGTAAAGAACCTGTACAAAGAAAACTACAAAATGCTACTACAGGAGATAAAAGAGGACACGAGAAAATGGAAAGATATCCCCTGCTCATGGATCGGCAGAATTAACACTGTCAAAATGGCAATACTTCCCAAAGCATTGTACAAATTCAATGTGATTCCTATAACAATACCCATGACATTCTTCAAAGAAATGGAGCAAACACTCCTGAAATTCATATGGAACAATAAGCCCCCACGAATAGCTAAAGCAATTCTTGGGAAAAAGAGAATGGGAGGAATCAACCTCCCTAACTTCAAACTCTACTTCAAAGCAGTAATAATTAAAACAGCATGGTACTGGAACAAAGGCAGAGCTGCAGACCAATGGAACATGGTTGAATATATTGACATCTCCCCCCAAACATATGATCATTTAATCTTTGACAAAGAGCAAGAAATGTGACGTGGAGCAAGGAAAGTCTCTTTAACAAATTGTGCTGGCAAAACTGGATGGCTACATGGAAGAAAACGGGCTCAGATCTCTGCCTAACACCATGTACAAAAGTAAGATCAAAATGGATTAAAGACCTCAATATCAGCCCAGAATCCATAAGGTACATTTACTGATGGCAAAACCCTCCATGAAAATGAAGCTAATGGTATCTTCAAAGATGTCACACCACTGGCCAAGCAAGTGAAAACAGAGATAGACAAATGGGACTATCTTAAACTAAGAAGCTTCTGCACCTCAAAGAAACAGTGACCAAAATACAAAGACAGTCTACAGAATGGGAAAGGATATTCGCCCAATACACATCTGACAAGGGGTTGATATCAAGGATATACAAAGTACTAGTTGAACTCCACAAAAAGAAAACATCCAACCCCATCAAAAAATGGGGTGACGAAATGAACAGAAACTTTTGCAAAGAAGAAATCCGAATGGCTAAAAGACACATGAGAAAATGCTCTACATCACTAATCATCAGGGAGATACAGATCAAAACAACAATGAGATATCATCTCACACCACAGAGACTGGCCCACATCCAAAAGAACAAAAGCAACAGGTGCTGGCACGGATGTGGCGAGAAAGGGGCCCTCCTTCTCTGCTCGTGGGAATGCCGACTGGTTCAGCCCTTTTGGAAAACAGTATGGTTGATTCTCCAAAAATTAGAAATTGAGCTCCCATTTGACCCAGCAATACCACTCCTGGGAATATATCCCAGAGAGGCAAAAAAGTATAGTCGAAGTGACATCTGCACTTGTTTGTTCATTGCGGCACTCTTTACAATAGCCAGAATCTGGAAAAAACCTGTGTCCCTGAGAACAGATGACTGGTTAAAGAAACTTTGGTACATCTACACAATGGAGTACTATATGGCGGTTAGAAAAGATGAAGTCATGAAATTTACATACAAGTGGTACTACATGGAAAGTAACATGCTAAGTGAAATAAGTCAGAAAGAAAGGGACAGACATAGAAATACTGCATTCATCTAGAGAACATAAATTAACAAAATAGGAAACTAACACCCAAGAATAGCCGAGATAAGTACCAGGAGGTTTACTCCATGGCTTGGAGGCCAGCCACACATGCTAGAGGAAAAGGCAGCTCAGATAGAGAAGGGAGCACCAAGTAAAGGGTGTTAGAAGGATCCTCCCAGGATGGGAGATGCATGCTGAAAGTAGACTATAGACCGAACAGATTGCCACTAAATGCCTCTTTTGCAAACCACAGCACCCAAAAGGAGACGGAGAACAAAAGGGAATGCCCTGCCACAGAGGTGGGGTGAGACTGGGGGGTGTGGGGGATACTGGGATCACTGGTGGTGGAGAATGGGCACTGGTGGAGGGATGGGTACTGGATCATTGTATAACTGAAACCCAAGCACAAAAATTTGTAAGTCTACAACTGTACCTCATGGTGTTTCACTAATAAAAATTTAAAAAAAAATAGAAGTGTGAAAAAGGGCCGGACAGAGCGAGGAGCTGATGAGTCAGCATGGCGGGACAAGGAGACAGCAGGAGGCAAGCACGCGCGCCTGAGCCAGCACCGGATGGACTCCCAGCCACCACAGGACACAGCCCTGAGGGCCCCAAGCTCTGCCGGATGTGACCCAGAGGCCACTGAGTGCCACTGAGGAGGCTCTGGATCCCTGAACCAGTCTAGCTGACCAAAGTACTACTGGAAAGGACCCTTGGGCCCCAAGCACTGTCTGGGAGGCCCCCTGCAAAATAAAATAATTAGAAACATTGTTATCTTATTTATTTTTACTGGTTCCTTAACAGTAACGGATAAAAATGTGGCAGTGGAATAACATCAGACTTACTGACCAGTGGAATGATGCTGAGAGCCCAGAAGGAAGCTCTCCGTGGCGAACTGGTCTAAGTGCATTAACCGGAGGAAGAAAAGTCACATCAACAAGTAGTGCAAGCTCCTGTGTTCACTGCAGCAGTAAGGACAGAAGCAAGATATGGGAACAACCCAAATGTCCACTGACAGAGGAATAAAGTTGTGACCTATATATCCTAAATCTCTGCCTGCTCACCCACCCTTCCGGAGAAGATCAATCTCCTGGCTGACATCTCTGAGCAGACTCCCCGCCCCTGGCAAGGGTCCAGCACCTCCATGCCCAACCACCTCCAGATTCTATGCGGCCACATGACTGTTTATCAGATTTCACACAGCTCACAGTTACACTTCCTGTCACTGTGTGTAGACTGGCAGGGAAGGGGAAGAACAATTCCTCCCTGGCTAGTTCCCCAGGGCCTCCCAAGGGGCCAACAACATAAAGTCACCCTTGCACAGCAGGACACAGCAAGCCCCATGGGGAAGATACAGAACCCCCCCCACCACCACCACCATTACCACCGGCTCAGTGAGAGAACACCAAACAAGGAATGACAAGCTCTGTGAATCCTCAGAGAACAACTTGAAGGGCATCATGGTGAAGATGTGTTAATGAGCTCCAAGA